TTTTTTTTTTTTTTTTTAATACCTGGGAATTTTTTCTAATACCCTAGGAAGAGGTTAAAAATTTTCACCCCTGTATCTTTCGTATAAATCGGCTTTAAAGTAGCTTCATACCAAAACATTTTGTAGCATTTTATAGTGAAATAAATATATGGAAATCTTCAGTTGTACCAGTTTTTAAACATTAGGTTATCTCTGTATTCTAGGGGATAGGCAGTCCACTGGCTATTTTTGTAAATAAAGTTTTATTGGAACTCAGTCATACTTGTGTATTTATGTGTTGTCTGTGGCTGCTTTCATGCTACAATCCAGAATTGAGTATGTAGTTGTAACACAACCATCTAGCCTCCAAAGCTTAACATATGTTACTACTTGGACTTTATAGAAAAGTTCTCCAACCTTAGCTCTACATCATTGCTTTTCAGTAGTGATGTTAAATGATCAGATTGCCTTAATTCAAGATTAGTTTTATAACAACTTCACTATCATTTATTGCATTTTTTTTAATATTCCTTTTTTAATTGGAAGAAAATATCTAGAATTACAACTGTTATCTCTAGTATTGCATACAGCTCAATTTTATGCAAAGGGAAAGGCAGGAAAGGACTGCAACTACTCTGTTACTAGCTTGAGCACCTAAAACCTTAATGTCCTTTCCTGCCTTGCCCTTGGAGACCACTTTCTTTGTGATGTTCTCCTTGGTTCATCAAGTCTCATAAGCCCAGGTTTATGTGATTGTCAATTTCCTTGGTGATCTCTGTAAGGTAGCTTTGAAAAAACTTTCATCAGACTGCTGCTTACTATAGTAGAAATGAAAGTCTGAAAAATAAATCAATTTTTATTTATTTTTATTTATGTAGATTAACAGTACTACAGGATACTCACCGCTCACACCTGAGGGAATATGAAAAATATATAGAAGATGTCAAGAGCTCAAAGAGTGCCATCCAGAACCTAGAGGGTTCATCAAATCAAGCTCTAAATTTTAAATTCTATAAAAGCATGAAAACTTATGTGGACAATTTAATTGACTGTCTTAATGAAAAGGTACATGGCTATAAATACTTATATATCACTTATTATAGAGAAATTCCCTTACCATGTAATTTACAAAAAGCCTAAATCCCATAACTGAATACTTTCCTCTAGTGTTTTTTCTACACATTTTTATATACCGTGATATTAAGCATTCCCTTAATGTTGGATAGTAAAGGTAGTATGAAGTTTTGTATATAATTGTTTAAGAAAAACTACTAGAAAGTGAATTATTAAGTCAAAGGGTCTAGTTATTTTTAAGGCTTATGAAACTGCTGAACTTTCCTCCAGAAATATTATGTTTTATTTTTAGTTTACTACATTAAAAAAGGGTTCTTATATATTTATATATTTATTTTGATCTCAGACAAACTCTTTGTTTTATTAACACATGTAGTTTTTCTTACGAATTATTTTTCTCCTTTGCCCTGCATGTTTTTGGTTCATAGTGGGGATTTTTTTCCCCTTTTTTGTTGTTTTTTTTCCTATATGAGTTTTTTATTGCTTTAAATTTTTAATGCTTTATCCTACTTGACCTAGATAAACTTTCCAGTTTGTTTTGCCTTCTGGTTTTGTTCACAGTGGTTTTTCTACTACCACATGGTTTGAAATTCTTGTGTTAATCAGATTTATGAATCATTTTTTCCCTCTTATAGCTTCTGGTTTCTTTACATATTCTAAGTCCATACATTAGAATCTTGAGTTCCTTTTTTGAACCATTTTAGAAATATACTCTACTTTTTGCATTAGTTTTTATTATTGTTTTAACTACTTTCTAATATCACTTGGTAGTTACTTTCTGAAGTATTTATTACAACATAATTTCCTTCACTTGTCCTTGAAGAATTATACGTTAAAGTCTTGCTGGTCTACACATGGATGTGTCCATAGCAGCAGCTATGTAACATCATTGGAGTGGGGGAAATTACCCCAGAAATACAAGAATGACAGTTTCAATTAATCACTATTTTCTGCTTCACGGCTTTCTTACCTGTCTAGTTAGGTCTCATCCATTCTCCACTTTTTATAATTTTACCAGTTTCCTCAAGCAC